GGCCTCCCAGAGAGCTAGGATTACAGGTGTGAGCCATTGCGCCCGGCCATACTCATTCTTTTAATTAGTCACCCCTTACTTGGATAGTAATTGTGGTAAGCCCTTGTAAACAGTCATTTATTTTCTCTATGGATTTAAAAATTGTATATTTAAATGAAGAAGTGGAGGAATGGACTATAGAAATTCTTTTGAATCCTATATTATTATTAGAAACTTTTTTGATAACAAAAGACTATGATGGTAGTGAAATTATTGATGTCAGCCTTGTTAGGGAAATCACAGAGCCAAGTTACTTGCCTCTTTTATTTAAACCACTGTGTACAGCATCTCCTATAGTGATACAGAGTCAAAATTCCATAAAATAAGATACAGGAATCTAAGAAATGTATTTAAAATAAAAGATTTGGCTGGGCGTGGTAGCTCATGCCTGTAATCCTAGCAGTTTGGGAGGCCGAGGCGGGAGGATTGCTTGAACCCAGGAGTTTGAGGTTGCTGTGAGCTAGGCTGATGCCACGGCACTCTAGCCCGGGCAAGAGAGTGAGACTCTGTCTCAAAAAAAAAAAATAAAATAAAACATTTGTGCTCAGTTAGGGCTATGTTATTCACAGAAAGCCAGTTCATTGAACGGTCAATTTTCTGAGTGTTCTTCAAATTATTAAACTTAATGATTTATGAAAAATATGTTTTAGCTATTCATAAAGTTTATAGCAATTTGATTTGGTTGGGTCGTCAGAGCCTTAGAGTGCTGTGGGAAGCCAGGTGTCTTCAATTTCTTGGACTCTCACACTCTTGTCTTGCCCTTGAGGATCTTTTTTCTCCCCACTACTTTGCCTCTTCTTTAACAGTCTCTCCCTCTCTCTGCCCCATAGTCTCTCTTCCATCATGCCCCTCAATCTCTCATTTTTCTTCTAGCAGAAGGTCCCTGTGAATGGGGAAGTGGGACAGAGATGAATTGAATATTTTTTAAAGTGTCATGCAAGCATCAGTTGGCTTCAGGGAAAGGAAGAACATGGCTGGGAGTTGGGATGGAAGAATTTTTTATCATGTACCCTTTTGAATTTGAAAACATTGAGTGAAATTACTCTTGTCCAATGCTGTCCAATAGAACTTTCTGTGATGATGGAAATCTAAATCTGTGCAGTCTAAGATAGTAGTCACCAGCAACTGTGGTTATTGAGCACTTGAAATGTGGCTAGTGTGACTGAGGAACTGAATTTTTAATTTTAGTTTTAGTTAATCTGAATTTAAATAGCTACATATGGTTAGTGGCTGCTATATTTAATGGCACTGATCTGCTGAAAAATTGTTTTCATTACCAAAAAATCATGAAATAAATGTTAAGGATGTTAGGACAAAATAAAAACTGGTCACTAGGCTTAGAAATATGCAAAATTTATTTAAACTACCCATCTAATAAGAGTGCTTTATGTTTATAAATTGTTAAATAGGATTTTAGTAGTCACTAAATGTGGCTATCTGTATGACTTCTTTCCCATGCCTCATTTTAGCAAACATTTACTTGTAAGGAGAAAAATCATGTGATCACTCATATTCCTTATGAATATAATGAAATAATTATCAGTACTTTGAATCTGTGTTTAGAAATAAATAGCTTTAATTTGTATTTGAAATCAACCCCTATAGGATAGGAATTTATGTAGTATAGAATGCATCTGCTCTTATAAGTGGGTTTTATTTTTAGAGATGACATTTTAAAGAACCTTAAGTTACATACTGGTATACAAATAACTAATTTTTATTTTGAAATAGCTTTTATGTTTTCATGTGTATGTAATAGTCACATTAATTTTGCCCTTTTGGATTTGTGTGTTGTTTATCTGAGATGCCATTGTTTTACTCAGTTTAATTTTTTTAATTTTGAAAATTCATTTTTATCATCTTTAAGTGATGCAGTGGCCATTTCAGCTTGAAATTTTTCATTCTCTTTATAATTTCGTTCCATGCATGTGTTTTGTGTTTGTGACGGTGTGGTGTTACTTAGTCTGTAGAAGAACATGTGGAGCAGGTCAAACAAAACCACGTAGCAGAAGATTGCCACATCAAGGTAGTATTCCACGCTCTTGTATGTAGCTCATTCTTCAAAGTTCAAGGGTCTAATGCCTCATCTTTAGTACTAACCATGACCTGCGCAGCTGGCTAACTGCTCAGAGAACGCATTGCTCCTGTACCACCTCAGTGGCCTAGGGGAGGAGAGGCTTCCCTGTGTCTGGCTTGCTCTACCTTGCCATTGGTTCTTCTCTCTCTTGCTTCCTGTTCCACCTTCACTTCTGTCACTTTTCCCAATCTGTTCTTAAGCATGGCTGTTTTATCTTTGCTACTTCTTGACTGTGCCTCGTCTTTCCTTTCCATGACCTCTGACCCTCAGCCATTGTGCCTTCCTCTCCTCAGTCTCCTTCATTTCCTTTCTAACTATTGTCCTCCTGTCCAGCTTCTCTTTATTTCTCTCATTACTCTTATTTCAGAGTGCTTCATCTCTTGTATGGTTTCTTTGTCTTTCTATGGTCTTTCCTCCACTCTGTGCCTCTTAATGCGTGCACATTTTTTTTGCAGAATATTTGCACTTTTGGAAGAGCTAAAAGAGATAAATTACTAACGAAAATACATTAGCCATCTTTTGTGACAGTTAATCAGTATCTTATAATCACAGTGGAAATCTTGATAATTGGGGTGATTACAGGACATAAGAGAATTTAAGCAAATTTTCCAAAGCTAATTTTCAACACACTAAAGTTACTCTTAACCTTTTTTCTTCCTGTTGATGCTACATTTTCTTCTGATCCTACTCTTTAATTTTGTGGGATGTGCATATCTGTATATAGAGCTGTGCTGCAGTGACTAAAACTGCTGACAAATGTTTTCTAGGTTGAAGCTGATCTGGGCTATCCAGGTGGAAAGGCAAAAGTTATTCATAAGGAATCTGATATGATCATGGCATTTTCCGTTAATAAGGTAAAAGCTTTAGTCATTATAAAGAATATACTTCTTTTTAGCAAAACTGCTTAAATCATTGACTCTGCCTTTGCTTTGTAGGCAAACTATAATGAAATTGTTTTGGCTTCAACACATGATGTTCAGGAACTTGACGTTACTTCTCTACTGGCCTGTCAGTCATACATATGGATTGGAGAGGAGTATGACAGAGAATCCAAAAGGTTTGTTTCATAGTCAATTTTAAATGCAGTTTTCTTCAAAAAGTACCCACTAAATGGTTATGCACATAGTTTGAATTACCTTGAAAAGTATATATGTATCTTTCTCTTCATTTAGGTAAGAGAAAAATGTAATTGGTTTGGCCCCCAATAAAAGGTTTTGCCTACATTAATGAATAAATTACTCTTTTGCCATTAAACCCTGCACTATTCATAGTGTTTCAATCAGAATAATCCCTGACACCAAAGCCTAATGCTGACAACTGCCACTTTGACACTTAACCCCAAAGAAATGTCAGGAATTACACAATATTTGGTAAATTTATCTGATCTGGATAATTAAAGCAAAACATAATATACACAAATATATTAATTAGACTAATTGATGAGTTATGTTTACTGAGTAATCTTGCAGTGTTTCTTTTTGATTGTCACCTGATAAGAATACCTTTTTTACATATAAAAATGTAGACAATTTTACTTTTCATTACAGCTATGGACACTACACCAAGAATGTTTTGTAATACTTCACTATTTTGGGGGTTTCTCCACCATGTTTGTTCTCCCTCTTCCTTTTCTCCAGACTCTTAGAAATTTTATTTGCTTGGGAATGGTGCCCTCTCTCCTAGTTTTGTTGAATTCTTTCCTTTGTTAGTATAGAATATAACTAGGCTTCAGTATTACATTTCAGAGTAGATATAACCATGTAATATATATCCCATCATAAAAATTACTTTCACATTTTTATGTGATGATAAATTAGTATATTATTCCAAGAAATCTTTAAACTCAGATTTCTATAAAATACATTAATTTGATACATGGGATATCTGTACTTGAAGAGAACATATCTTTATATATGATCACAAGGAAATTTGTATTAAATACTTTAAAAATAACATTTGTTTCATCTTATACAGTAATAAAGTTGCCTCCAAACATTAGCCTAAATTTATATTTTGCCTAAACAGACAAAGTTAACCAGTACTAAAATTGGCTATGATGAGGACTTGTACCTAAGTTTTCCCCACAGGTATTTATTTAATTTTTAAATAAAGAATGTCCTGTGGGTAACATAAGAAGCTCTATAATTGAAATTTGTGCTAAGAGACAATAGAACTTTCACAGTAACACTTGAATGTTTTTCACAGTTCAGATGATATTGATTATCGTGGTTCCACTACAACTCTTTATCAACCCAGTGCAACGTCCTATTCAGCAAGTCAAGTGCATCCACCCTCATCTCTGCCATGGCTGGGCAGTGGACAGACTAGCACTGGAGCTAGTGTGGTACGTTGTTTACTATTAGGTACGGTTTCTGGATAGAGACTCTCTGAAAAGTGAGTTGCAATCACTGACATAAAGATGACCCTAGAGATCAGGGTCAGTGACCAGCAGATGCACTGTGATAGTAACAGCTAACATTTGTCGTGGCTTTGTTTGTGTCAGGTGCATGCTTTTTATCAAAACAACCCTAGGTGGTAGGTGCTATCATTACCCTCCACTGTCTTTTTATAAATGAGCAAGCTGAGACACAAAATGGCAAAGTTAAAGAGGAATTTGTGTCTACTTACAGTGTTTGAAAGTACATCAGTAACATTCCTGTTCGTCAGTGTAGTTGAAGGAGTCTTGTTCTAATGTTCTAGTCTGAAGAATCTGAAGGTATTGCCGATTGTCCTCAGGGAGGGGCACTTGGAGGAGAGTTCCCTTTATCACTAGATGAAACTGCGTGATAATCGCACAGGCCAGGGCTGTACCAGTAAGTGACTGTGCTTCCTCAGCCTGTTCAGATAAGTGTTCGATGTGAGTGGTTCAGAAAATCCATGACAGGGTTATCTCAGCAATAATAAAGTTGTAAGAGAATAAATGTTACCAGAATTAGGTGCCCTGAAGCTTGTCCTTCCCTGTCTTCTGAATACACAAAATAAATTCATTTTTAAATTATCTTCTTTTAAAGCTTATGAAAAGGAATCTACATAATGTTAAGAGAATGACCTCACATCCAGTTCATCAATACTGTAAGTATCCTCTCTCATTTTGAGGTTGATTTATAGAATAGAATATATTGGAAGTCTTTAACTCTTTAATTTCTTATTTCCTGCTTTTCGTCTTGTGTTTTCAGATCTTACAGGTGCTCAGGATGGCAGCGTACGCATGTTTGAATGGACACGACCTCAGCAACTTGTCTGCTTCCGTCAAGCTGGCAATGCAAGAGTTACCAGATTATACTTTAATTCACAGGGCAACAAGGTTGGTTTTGGGGGGTTACTGCTAAATTCATCTGAAAATAATTGTGGATATTTAGGAGTAAGTGGTTGATAAAAGTACACCTAAAAAAATCTCAATGACTCTGGATTTAAGCTGAGCAGGCAGTTTGTTGGAGCCTGTTTATATACCCTCTTTTCTTCCAGTAGAAGAATAAATCTACAAAATTTAGTATGTATTAATCTACCTAAAGATACTTAAATATTCTGTGAGAGTAGAAAACTGTTTCTGTTGTTGAGTGTGTTGGTGATGAGCACAGTCAAGTGCTTGAGAGAAGCCTTCTAGTTTCTTACTAAATTCTATTACAGAAGTTTGGAGGAAAAGCAGTTAAAAGGTGACAGGGAATTTTTAGCACTTGGACTTTCTTGGGAACTCTAGCAGCAAAAACATAGCTGTAGGCAGAAACTTTAGTTGGTTCTGAGCGCATCTCCCTTTCATGTGTTTTTACTCTTGATATGGATATGAAGAAGCTGTGGGTAATATTCACATCATTCTTACAGTGCGGTGTTGCAGATGGAGAGGGTTTTCTGAGTATCTGGCAAGTTAACCAAACTGCAGCAAATCCCAAACCTTACATGGTAAGTGTCACTCACATTCCCAGAGTGCATGCAGAGAGAGCACTTCCGTTCATGACGTGTCTATTCCAGACATTGACTCTCATTGGTGGTTCTGTTGGGAAAGGGAGAGTTCAGTCCAGCAGCCACGGTCTAGCTGCAACACCCATCCTTGCCCTAGTTTTAGACTGAAATGACCTAAAAAACAATCTTGCTTTTCACCTTGAAGGGAAACCATTATATTGGAAAAATATCAGGGGTTTTCCCTGTGCGTGGTCTAACTTAGGATATATTTTACCATTTTGAAAACACTAACTTTGTAATGACAGAATTTTGTAGCGTGTACGTTAAGAATCAAACAGGTTCTGAACATCTACTCCAATTTGCTCCAGATTCTGCTTACCAGATTATAAAATAACCAACTCCAATGGGCCACTTCATTTATTAATCCAGATCATATTAAAATACTTGGTAATAAAGTCAAGCATATCTTTAGTTGATGGAGGTATGGTGGGGGAGGGGTTGTAGGGGAGGGTGGAGGTTGATACTATTCTGTGTGAAACTTCTGGCTTCACATATATGGAGGGAGGCTCAGAAAGCCTTAAAACTCAAATTTTCTAGACTATACACATGTTCTTATGTATATAAGATTTTTCTTTAATATACTATAGACTATACTACGGTATCTTCACAGAAATGGAAGAAATCTTGGATTTACCCTTTTGCCTTCAGTGAGATCTATACCATGATATTTCTAGATAGAAAAATGTACATTTTATTTAAGATATGCTGACATCCTCCTTTTGGGCCCTCACCTCCAAATTCCTATTCATTCACCTGATACAAGAAAAGTCATTCCTGGCTCAGTAAATGGTTTCCAATACTGCTGGAACATCCTTACGAGCCTTTTGGGGCAGGTGTAGACCTGTGGATTATTTGTAGGACCACCTTTGACAGCATCTTTATTATTGGTATAGCTCTTCCCCTGGGCGTGAGGGCAGGGAGCACAGAGGTAGCAAGGAGGTAGGTGTTTGTATTTAGAGCACAAAGTTAATTTGACTTAAGTCCCTCGTACTGCAGGCTAAGACTAGATGGGTAGGTAAGTGTTTTCCTCTTTGGGTTGCTTATTATGATTTATATTATTTAGGTTTATTAAATGTATTTGAGGTCATTAGTACTAAAATTGTTTGATTGGGCTTTTAATATAATGGAATGGCTTAAGTTCATGTACTTTGATGTTCTATTCTTACATAATCTAAAAAATATAACCTTTAATTCCATGTTTTTATGAACTCTTTTCAGTTTCAAAAAATTATTGGATAATAGCAAATAATATGAAAATAATGGTTACTATCACTTATTTTTTATTCTATACTGAGTTTTAAAAAGCTGTTCTTAGCTCATGCATGTAATGTTATTAGCAGAACTGTTTCTACTGTACCAAATTTTATTGGATTTTTAGATAACATCAGTTGCATTTTATTTTCATAGAGCTGGCAGTGCCACAGTAAATCCACAAGTGACTTTGCATTTATTACCTCTTCGAGTCTAGTTGCCACATCTGGACAGTCCAATGATAATAGGTAGGTTGACAGAGAAGCAAAACAAGAAATAAAACTTGAGGAAGAAAGGTATTCTTGCTAGAAAGTGTGGATTTCTATTTAGTAGGGTTTTTCCACCCCAGGAATAAAAATTTTTTTCTTTGTTACATAATTCTTATCTCAGAGGGGTTTTCCTTACCAAAAAGAAAAAAGCAAAAACAAAAATTACTGCTAAAGTAGTTTATCAATAAACACATATAATTTTTATGTCAAAGCTATTCACTTTTTTTTTCATTGCTTTTAACACTCTTAGGTTAACACTCTCAGAACTGACAAGCATCTGACACTCTGTAGCCATCATTCTACACATTTCCTTTGACCTCACACTGTTTTCACTGGCAACACATGCCTGTGAATAGCACTTCTCGTTTCCCTGCACTGGTTGCCACCTGGAGATATAGAAGCATCCCTTCTACTTAGAATGTTATATCACGATTTCTTGGGGTGGGGGATGCAGAGACAGGTGGGACCATGCGAGACAGTGTAGTCTGAGTATAAATCTTAGAAGAGGTGTGTACCCCCAGTCCCATCCTAGTTGAGAATCACTGCTCTATAAATATGAGTAAACAAAAAAGATAAGATTGAATAAGCAAAAACATTTGACTTGAAGACAGTTCGTCCCTGGTGATGACTTAAATCAATTATTTATGATGTATTTTTGTTACTGTTTCTCTAAAAGAAATGTATGCCTCTGGGACACATTAATATCACCTGGAAACAGCCTCATTCATGGTAAGTGAGTTAATTAAGATCTGTGGTTTTTAATACACTATGAAGGAATGTTTTCCCGGTTTTATTTCAATTAACCAATCCAGTGGATGTTTATTGACAGGTTCAAAATGGAGAAATATTTAGAATGAATGACTAAAAATTCTACAAGTTAATTAGAATGTCTGTCTAGCTGCCTTGCTGAGGTAAATATGTATGATAGGAATCCAACTAGCTTAGAATAGTCTATGTTGTTTGTATTCTGTTCAGAAAATATGGTATGGATACTGGTGATACTCATAATGCTATATAAAAAATTAGTTGCAAAGTATTCATCAAGCTCAGTAGAAGTGGGATATTTTAAAGAATTAAACCTAACCATAAAACAAAGGTTAACTTTATGATAAGAGCCATTAATAGAAATATAAACAGTACCATTTAAATATTTCTTTTGTTTAAGACAATATTTGCCTAAATAGTGTCTTAATGATCTCTCTTCCACATAACACTGCCCCTAAAATCCTCAATGCTCAAATAAGTTTGGCTTAAACGAAGTAGGTTTTTTTTTTTCCCCCACAGAAAGGTTTCTCAGTCTTAATATGCTGATGTGCATTTTGAAAGATGTAGCTATTTCTCAATTTTGATTGCAAAATTTTTTCTGTGAATAATTGTTGACATTCCTTAAAGATTTGCCACATATTAATTTGAGTCTTTGATCATATTAAAATGCACATACTCCTAGGAAAGATAACCTCTTAACTTGTAACCGAAAACATTCATCTTAATTTGTAACTGAAAACGTTCACAAATTTTCACATAGTATAGTGAGCTTCAATTACTTACCTGGGAAGAACGCTTGCTGAGAGTACATGTACGGTACAGCACTAGGCTAGATTGGTGGGTAGGTGTGCCATTGGGAAGCTTGGTCTTTGCACGTTTGCTTCTATATACTTCTTATGAGGCAGCATCACTTAGGGCTGAGGTTTAAACTTCCTTTTTCTATGTGTGTGTGTTTCATATTGAGATTGTTGATGAAAAAGGTTCTTTCTGACATCACTTAGCATTTTTCTTTATACTTATATTATACAAATTCAATGACTTAAAAAATGTACCTTAGAATGAAAAATGCACCAGTAATTTCTATGCTATTTAAATGTAGATTTAAACATTATCAGAATTGCCAAGATGGAAATTGTTTTGGGAAAGTCTCTAGCTGTTTTTCTTCTTCAGGTTTCACATGCCATGATCATGGTGCCACGGTACTTCAATATGCACCAAAACAGCAACTCCTAATTTCTGGAGGTAGGAAAGGATATGTCTGCGTTTTTGACATCAGGCAGAGGCAGCTAATTCACACATTTCAGGCACATGACTCAGCCATCAAGGCTCTGGCTCTGGATCCCTATGAGGAATATTTTACCACAGGTTCAGCAGAAGGTAACATAAAGGTGAGTCTGTACAAGAGGTTAGAGTGTGCTAAAAATTATCTGCTGTCAGGACTTACTGGGAAAAGAAAACCACCACAGTGTTTGAAATAAAGCAAAGCTTCATGGAGATACTGAATGTCTCTTAATACTCTGCCCCTGCCCCACCCCTTGCTTCTGTGTGGCTCTTTCCAAATGGCTATGGTCTAGAAACCCAGATAATCAAGCTCATTGGAATCTCAGGTCACTGACCAGCTTAAAGAACTCTGTTCTGAGTACAGTGTATGACTTTAATTAGTGCCTGGGTTTTTTTTATGACATTAGTTTGACTCCTTAGAACCTTCCCCGCTCTCCCCACTCTAACCACCCTTAGTATTTGACTCTTGGATGGTTGAGGTGAAGTTTCTAGGTAAGTGAGATAGTACAGATGCTCCCAACTTATGATGGAGTTACGTCCAGATAAACGTATAGTAAGTTGAAAATATTGCAAATTGAAAATGCACTTTTGAACTTACAGTATTTTCAACTTACCATGAGTTCATCAGGACATAACCCCATCCTAAGTCTGTACACATAGGAGCGTACTGAATGCATATCACTTTTGCACTGTCATAAAGCTGAGAAATCATAAATTAGAACCATAGTGTATCAGGGACAGTTTGTACCGTATTACTTTTACATTGCCCCAGGGCCTAGCTAAGCATTAGGACATGTAATTGAATTAACTCAGATATTTAATTGAATTTAAGATGGGTTATATATGGTTAATATGAAACTACAAGACGATGTGAGGAGAGAAATTTGAAAGAAGGGTCAGTGAAGTGTAAGGACAGTAAGTGAATCATGTGCGTGGTGGTATTTCCCAGTGAGGTAAACTGCAAGGAAAGAGGCAGTGGATGGGAAAGTTGAGCTTTAGTGAGATCAGATGGGCCAAGGGAGCAGAAGTGAGGACCATGTTTTTGCTTTTGGTCTCTCTTTTTAATTTTTGTTTTCACTCTTTGTTTTAAACTAGGTTTGGAGATTGACAGGCCATGGCCTAATTCATTCATTTAAAAACGAACATGCTAAGCAGTCCATATTCCGAAACATCGGGGCTGGAGTCATGCAGATTGACATCATCCAGGGCAATCGGATCTTCTCCTGTGGTGCAGACGGCACGCTGAAAACCAGGGTTTTGCCCAATGCTTTTAACATCCCTAACAGAATTCTTGACATTCTATAGACTTAAAGATTGGGGTTTTATTTTTATATATACATTTCAATTAAAAAACACTGTAGTACTCATTAGGCAAGTCTGCTTTCCAAGCAGTTAACACATTGAAAACAATACAGGGAATCTCTGTGCAGAGTTTGAATCTGATCCAAGCTGAGCGTTGTGCTGAGTATTGGCTATACAGGTTGGTAGAATGCGCATGTACCTTGTTATAATGCTGACATTCTAAAAACAAAATATAAAATCAACCCTAATATTGTATGAAGGATAGCTATTCTTTATAGCATTTAGCAAACCTGATTCAGAAAATATTCGCAAATTAGTAACTTGAAACAATGAGAAGGACCTTTATACCAAATTAAGGAGGAAAATGTTGCTGATTTAGGTTTTTCTTCCTGTTCTTATCACTGATTGAAGCATGCCTGCAGTCTCCTTCTCTGTGGAATGAAGGATAGTCATACGGTGTTAAGAGCTCTAGGCCACCAGAAAACTTTCTTAGCTGTGAAGCAGTGCACAGTGACCAGTTCTCTTACGTGGGAGGTCATTTCCATTCTTTCCTGCTGAATATTTTTCCTGTTAGTGTTTATACTGAGCTAGTACTGTAATTTGCAAATGAGTGCAAATTTAAATGCAATGTTTTCCTCACAATTTGCACATTCACATTTTTTGGACTGCTAGTTTTTCTATTTAAATATTTGCCTTCATGTTAGGAATGTAATACGTGAACATGACATATTTGTAGTTAACCAAAACACACCTTCTTAGTCCAGTTTAGTACTTTTTTCTTTTCATGTATTCAAGGTTAAATACCCACAACATTTAAGGCTATGTTGAAACTACACCAATAGAGCATTTCATGTCATAATTAAATGAATGTTAGGCTTTTTGTGGCCAGTTAATAGTTGATGAGATTGGTGATATTATTTATTGCCACAGCCTACTGTATAAACTATGCAGAGTTAAATATTATTTGCTTGTAAAATATTAGCCATTGTTGTTATATTTGATGTATTTCCTTGGTTATGACCAAAAATATGTTCTTGAGATATTGAAACTAATGTCTGTGTGTTTAATGTTTACCAGCAAATTGTCTCATCATGTTAATGAGAATGTTTAATGCCTGTGCAGTAAACAGTAAAATATAATGGCATAACAGTACCTTTCTCTGAAGATGATGTGATGTCCAGGCTGTGAAATACATATGTAAAAGAAAAATAAATGTTATTTGTTAGAGTTTTATCTTAGTTTGGTCTGTTTAAATATACTGCTATGGCATTCTTTGATACTGTTTTTAACAGGTGACTTTTAATTTGATAAGAAGTTTAACTGTTAGAGAATTTTTAAGCTATTAGGAAGTTTATTCATTCACAAATATTTACTGAGTACCTTATACACCAGAAGCCATTCTATTATAGGAAATAGAATACAGTGATGACCCAGACAGAGAAGACATTCAACGTTGAGATTTAGTTGGTAAGAACTAACCTCTCTGTACCTTCCTCCAGACACATTTAAAGTTTATTGAATAACTTTCTACCCAAAAGTCAAATCTGAGTCTTCCCTCTTAGCTTACTCTAAAGTAAGGGAGGTCAGAGTATGCCCATTGACAAGATGAGCCAGAGAAATGAGCTTGTGAGAAACTTTATTATCTCGATGCCTGAAGCAAAACTGTCCCAAGTTACCTATCCCAGGGCAGGATACTTTAATCTTAGTGCTCTGAGAGAGTGAGAGTTTTCAAAAGAAGGGAAGAAAACTTCCTCTGCTCAGATAAAAGCAGTACTAAGACTCTAGGTTTACTCTCTTGCTTGAAACAACTAAAAAATTAGACAAAATATATAAAACAATGGTTCTCAAGACATGAGGTAGGGAAGGACAGTGATCCCTGAGATGTGAGCTTTTTAATTGTCCCAACTTACTACCTGGAGAATGCTTCCAGGCCGCGGGCAGTGAGGGAACCCAGGTAGAGCCTAATGGTCGCTCTGAGTTGCCAAGGTAGAACTGGAAGTCTGGGGAATATAATGTGACTAGAGTTTGCAGGCCAAGGAAGGGACAAGTGTGCAGAAGGTCCTCAAAATTCAGCTGCAGGCTGGGCGCGGTGGCTCACGCCTGTAATCCTAGCTCTCTGGGAGGCCGAGGCGGGCGGATTGTTTGAGCTCAGGAGTTCGAGACCAGCCTGAGCAAGAGCGAGACCCCGTCTCTACTAAAAATAGAAAGAAATCAATCGGACAACTAAAAATATATAGAAAAAATTAGCCGGGCATGGTGGCGCATGCCTGTAGTCCCAGCTAGTCGGGAGGCTGAGGCAGGAGGATCGCTTGAGCCCAGGAGTTTGAGGTTGCTGTGAGCTAGGCTGACGCCACGGCACTCACTCTAGCCCAGGCAAAAGAGTGAGACTCTGTCTCAAAAAAAAAAAAAAAATCAGCTGAAAATGGCCTAGTGTATATGTGAGGAAACTACTGACAGCCATGAAAAGAACCACCTAATGGGATTAGGGTTCATTAGGTAATTGTGTAACAATTTAATTACACGAAGCTGGGAATACAGCAGTCCCCTATTTTCTGTGGTTTTTAGTCCAAGGTTTTAGTCACCTGCAGTCAATGATCCAAAAATTGATGAGTACAGTACATTAAGATATTTGGTGGAGGGGGGAGACCACATCCACATCCAATTACAGTATAATTGTTCTATTTTTTTATTGTTGGTAATCTCCTACTGTGCCAAATTTATAAATTAAACTTTATCACAAATATATATGTACAGAAAAATCATACAAAATTTGGTACTACCCCTAATTTCAGGCATCCATTCACTGGGGTCTTGGAATCTATCCCCCGTGGATAAGGGGGACTACTATGGTTCCTGTTCTCACCAATCAACCGGAAAACCTCATAATTCATGAAAGATTAGGTAGGCTACTCAGAAGGGTTTTGCTGCAATGATGACACAAAATTAGTCCTAGGCTAAACACTGCTGTGGCCCCACCTAAGAAAGCTAAAAAGGAAATGATCAAACTGTTTCCAAAATAACAAAATTATATCTTAGAATGAAGCTTCAGAATAGTTATAGGAATACAGAAATACCTAGCACTAAACAAGGTAAAATTCACAATGTTTGACATTCAATAAAAATTACAAGGCATGAAAAGAAATAGGAAACTATGAGCCATAATAAGGAGGAGGGAAAGTCCATCAAAAATGATCCAGAAATAACACAGGTGATAATTATTAGACAAGGATATTAGGATAGCTAGAATAATTGTATTTCATATGTCTAAGAAGCTAGAGAAAAGGTTCAATATGCTAAGTAGAGACATGGAAGACATAAAAAAGACCCAAATAAAACTTCTAAAAATGAAAACTGTAATGTTTGAGATGACAAATACGCTGGATGGAATTCACAGCAGACTAGACATTGCTGAAGGAAAGATTAGTGAATATGAAGGCACAATAGAAACTACCCATGAAACACTTAAAAGAGAAAACAGTGGAACAAACTAAACAATACCAGTGAGGTCTGGGACAACTTTAAGCATCCTAATATATGTGTAATTGGAGTCCCTGAAGGAGTGTAAAGAAAAAATAATAATTGAAGAACTAATGACCAAATACTTTCCAATATTGATGAAAACTAAACCACAGATCCAAGAAGTTTGATGAAACCCAAACACAGGAAACAAGGGAACTACGCCATGTCATAATCAAATTGCTTAAAACTAGTTATAAAAGAAAAATCTTTGCAAAAAAAGAAAATAGACACATTACATACAGAGATAAAGATGACAGCAGATGTCTTCCATAAACAAGGCAAATTCAAAGATAGTGGAGCAACATCTTTAAAGTCCTCAAAGTGGGAGGGAGGAACTGTCAATCTAGAATTCTCTACCCAGTGAAAATATCTTTCAAAAATGAAGTTTAAATAATAGACATGCAAAGCGTAAAACAATTATCACCAGTAGAGATACACTACAAGAAATATGAAAGGAATGTAAACAAAGTCCTTCAGGGCGCGGTGACTCACACCTATAATCCTAGCACTCTGGGAGGCTGAGGGGGGGGGGGATCACATGAGCTCAGGAATTTGAGACCAGCCTGAGCAAGAGCGAGACCCCATCTCTACTAAAAATAGAAAAAATTAGCTGGGCATTGTGGTACACACCTGTAGTCCTAACTTCTCAGGAGGCTGAGGCAGGAGGATCACTTGAGCCCAGAGTCGTCTGAGGTTAGAGTGAGCTAAGATGACACCGTTATACTCTAGCTGGGGCAACAGAGCAAGCCTGTGTCAAAAAAATTTAAAAAAAAAAAGTCCTTCAATCAGAAGGAAAATGATACTAGTTGGAAATGCAGGTCTACACAAAGGAATGAAAATTTCTAGTAATGATAACTACATTAGGTAAATTATATATGAAGACTTTTTCCTCATTATTTCAATCTCTTCTAATGAGTTATCTGTTTAAAGCAGAAATAATAACATATTTTATTTACAACATACATACAGGTAAAATATATGACATCATCAGCACAAAGGCCAGGAGAGGAGAAATAGAAGTATACTGTTGTAAGCTTCTTACACTCTCTGTGGTGTGGTATATCACTTGAAGGTAGACTATAATAAAGATATACACTATTCTAGGGGATTTTGGGGAGTGTCATCAGGAAGATGACAGAATAGGACTTTTCAGAGCTTATCCCCTCACAGAAACACCAGTTTGAAAAACTATCCATGCATGAAAATACCTTCACAAAAGCTAAGGAAACCAGGTGAGAGATTACAGCACCTGAGTGTAACAGAAATGGGAAAAGATGCACTGAAGAGGGTAGGAAAGACAGTTTCACATTACTCATGTAACCCTTACCCCAACGCCAGGCAGGAAACATGGAGAGAGAAGGCGAGGGTAGTGCATACCAGAATGGTGCCTTGGACCCCAGCACTGAGCCTTCCCCAGTAAAATTCAGAACCAGAGAGGCCCCCATTCCCCAGGCTGGTGCCTATAGACCAAATCTCCAAGAGCATCTGGGTACCAGGCCTGATCCTGAAGCCCCAGGCCCACCCAGTGGACTCAGTCTTTGGGACAACCTCCAGGCTTGCTCCAGACTGGTCCTAGTACTGGGCCAGCCCCAAGAGACTCAGGATACTACAAGAAAAAATTGCAGGCCAATATCCCTCATGAACACTGATGCAAAAATCTTCAATAAATACTAGCAAACCAAGTCCAACAGCACATTAAAATGATCACTCACCTTGATCACATAGGATTCATTCCATGGATGCAAGGATAGTTCAATATATACAAATCTATAAATGTAATATACCACATTAAGAGAATGAAGGACAGAACCATAACATCCTCTCAATACAGAAAAAGTACTTGACAAAATTTAACATCCTTTCATGATAAAAAAAAAAAAAACTCTCAACAAATTAGTTATAGAAGGAATGTACCTTGAAATAATTAAGGCCATATATAACAACCT